TCTGGTTATTTAATTGAGTTCACCACATCCTCTGTTTGGCATCTGTACACGCCAAACGTGACACGTGATCCTCCACAATGGTGCATGATGACAACTTCACATTCTCTATTGATGTATGTTGAGTGTGTGTAGCGCTCTTACACATAGACTGTGTCAGACTTCAGAGGTCCATTGCAGAACCTGTCTGTGTGATTCTCCCCCATACAATCATCGTTCTCTCCAATCACATAGGTAAGTGGCGTAGTGCGATTGTTCCTCACTAAGGCCCAGCTGTCTCCAGACACATTGTGAACACCTCTGCTGTGTGTGTCTGTGCGCAAACCCTCATTCCTCAAAAGACACGGAGGGTTGGGGAACCCAATGTCAGTCAGGTAAGGGGCAGGACGATCAAGAAATGCATTCCTCCAGTTGGTCAGATTCTGGATGTCCTTAACTGTGACAGGATGGAAGTCAGAGAGGAAATGAATCACAGGGGAACGGAGTCAAATATCTGCTGACCTTAAGCCCTTCGGCTTTCGCTTACATTTAGCCTTTTGTGAGCTTAGGACAGAATGAGGTACTGTAAAATAAGACTCTAGCTGAAGCTTAAAGCACAAACAAGACCAATAACCAGGTGTAACCTATTCAACTAAAAGTGACGGCTGTCAGTGTTGTCAGAGTCATACCTCCTGACTCGGCCACGATGACCTGAATTTTTGTGATTGGTCCATTATCGTCACTATAGAAACAGACAGGCATGTGGATGATGATAGTCTTATGGGTTACTATGGCAACCCCTCCTTGGCCCATCACTGCCTGGGGTCTTTGAGTTGGCTTGTCCGGGGCTGGAACACACATACATGAACACACAGAAGCACACACAGTTTGTTGCGTGTAATACAATGTGTAAAGAGATGCACCTCTACATCTTCAACCCAAACCTTATTGCAGAATTAACATTTGGCTGTGTCAGAACAGCTACATATTGTGTATTAACACTGTGCATTGGCTCTTGTGTGTCTCACATAAGTGCTGCACTGTTGCAATAAGATAGTGGAGACACACAAAAAAGGGACGTGTACCTTTGATCCCTGTTGTTATCTGCACATGTGAGCTGGGAGGGCTCCTACCAGCCCCGTTCCTTGCTGAAATCTAAAAATAGACAGACATAAAGAAAAGAGACAGCAGAAACATGGACATGAACAGAAAGGAATTAAAGAAAATAATTTGAACATGAGTAAGGTCATACAGTAGGGGGCTTTGAGAGAGGGAATGTGCATGTCTGTGTGAGCACTTCACCTGTATACTGTAGCTGCGTCCTCCTTTTAGGCCCTCTATGACAGCAGTCAGTGTGTTATGCTCGCTTTTGATTTTATCTGAACTAAGGCTTAAGTTCTTGACCAGCTGGTCCTTTTCATATATGTACACAATGTAGGCGGTGATGTTTCCATTGGGCTCTTCTGGGGGGTTAAAGGTTACCATCACACGGTTCACTTCCTCTGGGATAGCTGATACATTCACATTCTTGGGTGGGTCTTTGGGTTCTGGGGACCAAGTAGAAATGATTCAAGAAAAAAATAATGATAGATATTTGGTCACATTTGCTGTAAATGTCACATACCCTGCTCCAGTGTTCGAAATTCAGTAGGTCCAATGGCTTTCCCCTCACTGGTAGCGTTCTCCAAAGGACCAGTGAAGGCAGTGACAGTCACAAGGTAACGGGTGAAAGCAGTCAAGTTAGTCAAAATAACAATCCTCAACTCTTCTGGAGCCCGGACTGTTGAGACGTTCAAACCGGTACCATTCACCTGAAATCACAGCACAGTTCACTGAAACATTTAATACTTTTTGTCATGTTCTTTGCATTTGTATGCAAAGAACACACCATATGGTATGCTAACCCGGTGGTGAGCTGCTGCTATTTTAAAAACTCTGACCAAAGTAAGGCCATGTTTATCTGTTCTGACAACATTTTACACTTCACTGATGACACGTTCAGTATTTGTGTGTATCTGTACAAATATAACCCAATGAGGTCACCTGCACAAGATATGAAGTTGGTCCAGAGAGAACAGCTGGAAGGTCCCAGGCAATGTGAAGGCTGTTGGAAGTTGGGGTCACTTTTAGGTTACGGGGAGGTTCATCGGGGCCTGAAGGAGAAAATAAGAGAATCACAAAGTGCTTATTGTGTGCTACTAAATGAAATGGTTCACACCTCATCTGAGTCTAATTAATTTGTACTGTGAAATACCTCTTCAAATATGCCATTAGTACTACCCTGGCAGGTCAGTATTTTGTATTAGACAGTAAAATGATGCTAATGGGAATCCAGGACATGATGGTATAAATGTGTCAGCGTCATTCTCACTGAACCAAAACAGACTCTTATCTCTCATTAAAAACCACATTACAGCATCTTAACAGGTTATATTAAATCTGACATGTTAAAAGATTAAAAGGCTGGTAATGTGCTACATTTTGTTGTTATCAAACCAGTGTCAATTGATGTTTCCATTTTAGTACTGGCTAGAAATGCAAGGTCCATCCCTTTCAAATGTTAAGCCTGACCCAAGTTTTCATTTTAATGTGGTCATGTGACCTCTCAAGTGGCTCTTGCATCTGCTCAAGTACATGCCTGGTACGTGACTGCGCCTTAGCTATGAGATATCACTGTAGACAGTTAATGCTAGGTTGTTAATTGAGGTGTGTGCCTTATTGCTTTATCACTGAAGAGAAGAATGGTATCATTCTCTGCTGATTTACTATTGAATACCTTTTGCAATCTATTTTTACTTGTCTTTAAAGGGCTTGCATACTCTTTGACACTCCATAGTCACATTTATTTGCAATAATACAAAAAATACTACTAGTCCTAATAAAGCCTGACCAACTGCAACACAGAAAAATCATATCATCAGCATGATGACCTTACTTCCAACCAATGTGCGTGCATAATTCCAGAGTGTATATTGTCCAACTCCAGCGTTGGTCACAGCAGCCACTTTGAAGCGGTAGTATCTGTATTTAGCCAGGGAACTGAGTGTGATGCTGTGGTTCTTTTTAGTGCTGCCCAAAGCAGGCACTAACTCTGTGAAACTAGATTCCACACAGGCTAAAGACAGTTCACCCTCTGAGGCTGGCTGCACAGTAGGTGGAATGAACGTTTCACAGACAGTTGAAAGCAGCTGGGCAGTGATGTGGTACTCTTTTAACAGGCCTGGAATGGAGTGTGGTGGAGCCCACTGAAGAGTCACATTGTTAGCTGTGACTTGAGAGATGGTGAAGAAGAGAGGGGCAGTTGGGACTGGTTGGAGAAACAAATATTAAATCTGTAATTAATTTATGCATCTTTAATAGATGAACAGCTGTGACTGGATGTGCAAAATGATTGCATTAAGACTGAGTACCTGATTCAGAAAGAGTGGAAGCTGTACAGTTTACTCTGTTTCCAAGTCCTGCAGAGTTGACTGCAGCCACAGTGAATGCATACTTCTGCTTTGGTGATAGCCCAGTAATGGTGTACCCTGGTGAGTGAGACTGGTGCGTGTAGGACTGCAAGTCTACCTTCACTTGGATCTCATAAAAAAGGATCTGCCCATTAGGGTTGGCTGGAAGTTCCCAAAATAGCTGAATTGAATCCCAGCTCACTCCCAAGCAAGACAGGTTTCCCACAGCATCAGATGCTGCAGATAAACAAAGAGTGAGACAGTGACGCTCTTTCACTAGTGTTATGTTTAGTTAGCATTTGTTACTGTCCACTATAAAAGGAAAGATCCAAAATCAATTTCAGTTGCCTATGGTTATTTCATGACAGGCTAAAAAAGGCTACTACACATACTGTATGGTCTTTGCACAGGACTATGATTTACTGGAGTCTACAAATTTATAGATTACATATACTTTATGTGAAAATAAAATAAACTAACTTTATTTTAATCAAAGCTTTATGGCCAATCATTTCCGCCGCTTTCAATTTATCTTTGGTTACAGCTCTGCTTTAATGAACAGTTTATGGAGGGCAACACATTCAGTTTGTCCTTGTATTTGAACTCCTTCATTTATCTGTTCTTTAAATTCCTTTATCAAAAGGACATTAAATAAATAAATAAATGAATACTAGATGTTATTGAACTGAGATTTAAAATTACTGGCAGAGAAACATTATTTGTATTTTTACATTGTTTTTATGTGTGTGAATGAATGATTTGTGTTTTTGGTGTATTTTTATGTTGGCAAGACTGCTTGCCTTGAATTTCCCCTTGATGGAAGGGCAATGTATTTCAAGACTGACTGAACCATGAACAGCAACCTAAATCAGTGTTACCCCCCTTGTGCGTAGACGGAGTGTACTTTACCTGACTCATTAGTGGTGAAGGTCATAGGGCTGCTGAACTGATTGCCATGGCCCACTCTGGTGTAACTGTAAACACTGATCTCATAGGAGTTATGAGGTTTGAAGCCTGATAGATACTGTTTGGTCAACGGACCAGAGGAATTCTACATTTGTGCACATAAACACACACACACACACACACACAAAGAAACTTAAGTGATTTTAAATCAGCCAATCCTGATTACTGGAGTAGATAACGTCTTACTGTATTTGCACACATATGTGCATGTACATTATGTAGTGTGTATAATATTACTGCTGAGTGGTATTTGAAGTGTGAAATTAGAGCTACCGTCAGTTGGATAGTGTGTACTCTTACTGCGTGGATCTCTAGAGTGTGTGTTGTTGTTGTTACTGTGGAGTGGCTTTTGATGTGTGAAATTAACAGTACCCGGTGTGTGACAGTGTGTGTCATGAGGTCCTGGATCCTGAAGCCATACTGTATCACTACTCCATTTGGCTCCAGAGGAGGCTCCCAGCTCAGCCACACAGAGACTGCCGTCTGGTTGTATATAATTAGGTTACGGGGAGGAGACGTGGGGCCTGAAATACAAGGTTAGGCAGACAGAGCAGAAGACAGACTCAAACAGAGAGTAGATACAGTATACACATATTAATAAATGAATACCATCTCATTAGGAAATTTTAGACCTGCTTTCAAACTAACCTGCCTCATCAGTGTGCAGCTGCAGCAGCAGATAAGGCCCTGAGCCTTTACGCGTCGCAGCTGTTATAGTGAGGTTGTAAGCTGTGTATGGATGGAGCTCAGTGAGGATGAACGAGGTGGTGGGGGTATGTGTTATGTTAGAATCCCCTGGGCCAAACAACATGAGGGTATACTCTGTTATTTCCCCATTGGCCTCAAGAGGGCGCTGCCAGACCACAGCGATGGAGGATGATGAAAGGTTCCTTGTAGACACCAGCAATGGAGCAGAGCTAGGAACTAAAGAAAGACACGCCCACACACGTCAAGTGGCCACAGTAAACATCTAAATCATACTTCACAAGTGAATGTTTGTGTAGATAAACTCACCGTCATCATCTGTTCTCAGGTATGTTGTGCTGGTATGATTGTAGGCAGCGCCAGCACCAGTTGCTGGGGTAACAGTAAACACATAAGGGAAATACTTTCTGAGTCTTGTAAATAGGAAGACATTGTCAGTAGTGGTGTGCTTGATGGTCTTGTTGACAGCTGGAGTGCCTTGGTTGGATATGTCTGGAGGGATGCCGGCTTCCTGTAAGGTGAGCAGGTAGTAGAGACGGCCGTTTGGCTCCAGGGGAGGATCCCAGCTAACGATGATGGCTGTGGAGCTGAAGATCTGAGCTGTCAGGTTTTGGACTGAATCACTTGGCACTGAAGAAGAAGACAAATAAAACTGTGTTACTATTATTAACTACCAATGATAACTGTGAGCCTTTCAATGAAAGTTTGCCATACTGTGGGGCATTAAATTATTGTACCAATCAACCATACACACACTGTCACTTGAGCGAAAATGAATAGTGCACCAGTCATTAACATCATCATCTGTCACAAGCACCATCATAATCATTGGCAAAACTGTTGTAAATAACTAAATCAACAACAGCACATCAAGGAAAGCAATACGCCATGGCATTATTCCAGCAACTCAGGACACAGCAAAGTGAAACACAACAAACACAGAAGCAATATCCAACAAAATTGACAAGCCATTTAAGGACAGACAGTGACAGTTAGGAGGAAAGTTCACATAATGAAAACCTTATGACTGAAAGGGACTGAGGAGAAAATACTCAACCTGTTCATCATCTCGGCCTCTCAAAAAACAAAAAACAAAAAAAAAAAGCATGGTACACAAAGCAGAAATAAATGGGGAGATGAAGGGCAAAGAGGAGATAAAACTTGAGATATCCATAAAATGAATGAGTGAGTGTAAGAAGCCATGTGTGTGTGGGGGTCTGAGCCCAGGGGAGTGAGCCCCAATTGGGCTTGGCTGTGCGGGAGAGACAAGGTGCCCTGGAGGTCCGGTGCTTTGCTGAGAGTGGAGCAGCTGGAGCACAGGCAGAGATACAGAGTCAGTATGACCAGTGATCATTCAGAAACAGAGATTACTTCACAAGCAAAATGTCAACAAGGAAAAAAAATCACAACATACAAATATATAAATGTATATGTGACAAAGTCTTTGGCAGCTGTCTGCACCATTTTTCTCAAAATCACATAAAAACAAAGAGATCATTTTACAAACACTTTATCCTTTCACTGAGGGTAATAGTACAACTAAATATTATATGCAGATTTTTGTTTCCATGACAACAATGGAAGTGTAGCATGAGCATTGCCAGGACTTTCTCAAAGCATGTCAGGCTTTATTGTTTCTCTGTGTCATTACATTTTAAATGGGTCTGTGCTCTCTTTCTCTTTGTCTCTCTGTTTCTAATCCCTCACAACCTTCTTTGGTAGCAGCTTAGCAAAAGGAAACACAAACCGGCTGTCTTCAAGGCACAGCGTCACAGATGAAGAGCCAGTTTGCCAGACTGACAGTTATCTCCTTTCACTACCAGGCTGAAAGTTACGTCTTCAATCGCAGAGTTTTTATGTAATTTTTTTTTTTTAAGTTGAAGAGTTGTGGAAAAAGTGTGCAGACTTGCCCTCTAGTGAGGTTCTGAATCAGTCTATACAATAATTATTTGGCTACATGTGCAGGAATTTATCCAATTTTCAATGTATTCATTTAGCAAATTTATATTGGTGTATGAATATGTGTTTGTGTTTGTGTGTGTGCATGACTGACCAGCTTCAGGTAAAAGCAGGGTTATTGGGTCACTCTTGACCCCTCCGTCCCCATGTGCAGTGCTGGAGGTCATCCAGATGGTGTAGGTAGTGCCCCCAATCAGACGAGTCAGAGTGTAGGAGAGGGGTGAATCGGGAGATACAGGGGTAGATAAGTGTGAAATGGGAACAGTCTGTGGAAAAAAAGATTATGGTTAATTTCACAAACTGACACAGGCATTCAAATTAGAGTGCAATCTGCGTTGTGTATATACAAATGAGTGTCAAATGGAAAACATAACAAATTCTTCATAAAGTATTATAACAGTATTGATTTTTTGACCATTTAGTGGCAGCAGGAAAAGCTGTAACCATAATGTGAATGTGTTAGCAATTAGCTATAATTTATTATTATTATTTAGCTATTTATCTGGAAGATATAGTACAACATTAGCATTCAGTTTGAGTCATGTTTATGTCCACCTGACAAATGTACTGTAAGTCTAATATTCACTCTGTTTTGTTTTCCACCAACTCCTGAGAGAAAGACCTGGCTCTTTAGCAGCTACAGTTAATATTAAGCTATGTTCACTAGCTAGCTGTTAACTTTGTCTTCTCTGGGCAGGTAGCAGACAGAGGGCTTATCAGAGCCTGCTTTTACTGAAAAGAGTTGACTACTGTAGCTTGAAACAGGGTTTGTGAGAATGGAACCAAAAGTAAGTTTGTGGGTTGTAAAAGCAAAATAATGGGCTAATATGTTAAAATTCCTTCAGAGCTTAGGGGAGCTGCTGGGTTGTGTGATAATCCTCTGTGGGCTTGTCGCTACGTGCAACCCTTCTTACACACAAGTGCTCATTTGACCAGTTTTGATATAACAATATTGATTCATGCAGCTTTAATTTCTCTGTATGTATGCAGTATGTCTCACCTGCCAATTCACAGTGTTGTTAACAGAGTAGTAAATAGTGTAGTGTACAATGATTCCATTGGGTTCAGTAGGTGGGCGCCACAGCAAGGTGACAGAAGAGGTGGTCCTGTTTGCAGTGGTCACATCCTGTGGGGGGTCAAATGGCTCTGAGAGTAAAACACAAAAGCAGAGAGAAATTAAGGAAGAGAGAAGAAATATTTTACAAATTTTGTAAGGATGATAAAGGTCATTGTCAAAACTCTTTTATCCAGCACCTTTATAGGCGACGGTAAAGCTGATGTAGCTCCTCACACCTCCATCTCCCAGTCTGGTCCAACTGGAGACAGAGGCATTGTAGAGACTTTCTGAGTCCACCTTAATAACCACTGATGTCTTTGTCACATTCTGCCACATCTTAGTTGTTTCATTACTAAAAGAAAGAGCAACCATTTCACATTGCTTTATGTTCTGTTTTCATTTTAAACTTCTGAATAGATTGATTATGTAGATTAACTAACTCACCCAACGCTGACAATGTAGTAGAGAATGTCTGAATTGGCTTCAAGTGGCGGTTGCCACGACAACTCTACTTCATAGTCTGATAACTTTTTGGCACGAAAAAACCGAGGAGGTGTGTCTGGAGCTGAGATGTAGGAGAAAGACTTTCCAGTAACATAGCACCAACAGGAGTACAGCCTATCAGTGCAAAAGATGTACTGAAGAGGGATTTAAAAAAAAATTGAGGTATACTGTATTTGCACTAGGGAAATCCAGAACTGAGAAGGCGCCAGAAACATGCCGGAGAGAAAGAGAACATTGCCCTGAAATGAAAATCTGGTTAGTAAAACTGGTAAGTAGAAATCTGTAGTTTGTGTTTCTCAGTCCTGATGGGAGACACAAGTGCCACGTTGGATTCAGTACCTGTAATGTAACAACATTAGCATGAGCTGAAACAGAGGAGGAAAATTTGAGAGGAAAGTTAAATTTAATCAGATGCCCCTTGAACTTGTCAGCCAGTTATGATGTAACCACGCAACCTGCTGGAACTGAAAACAAGCCCCTCCCCTTTCCACACCCTTCCCTCTCACCATCCTCCAGTGTAGTGATGTTGAGCGGCTCACTGGTGTAGTTTCCCGGTCCAACACGTGTGTGTGCCCACACCATGACACGATAGTGTGCATACTTCCTCAGATGCGTGATGTTGATGTAGCTGGTCAGGGAGGTGAGGTTCAGGTGATGAGAGGAATTCCAAAGATCCAGGCTGTAGTGAGTAATGATCCCATTAGGTGACAGAGGAGGGTGCCAGGTTATGTGCACCTCACTGGGACTGACTGACTCATAGGAGAGGCCATATGGGGGACTACCTGGAACTGGATAGAGAACACAAGAAGATGCACCTGTACTACAGTCTGAGCAGTTGATATTGTCACTAAAGATTTTCATATGTGTGCATTCATGTGGATGGATAAATCAATCAACACACCATCCTCTCCAGACAGCAGGTACAAAATATTTGACGTTTGGTTGCCATGACCATAGCGTGTGTATGCCCTCACAGACACGTTATAGTAGGAGAATGGTTTGAGGTTCATCAGAACGACTCTGTTAGAGGACGTGTTTATCAGTGCAGAGTGGGAGTGATTCATATACAGGACCTCGTAACGCTGGATCACCCCATTGGCTTTCTCTGGTGCAGACCAGGTGAGTGTGGTGGTGGAGGGCCTAGAGTCTACCACAGTGAGGTTCACAGGAGGGGAGTCAGGCTCTGAGGGCCAGATGGACAAGAAAAAACCAAAAGGGATTAACATACTGTATTGTGTGACATGCCACTGACTAAAACACAACAAAATGGAACCATGAATAAATAAGCAAATAATCAAACTGATGTGGTATCCAGGTAACAGTGACACTTCAAAAGACACATAATAAATTTGATAAATCAACTCACATATTAAATATCACTTTCAAATTCATTCCCTGTTACAAAACTGCTGTGGCATGCACCTCACAATGAGCCCCAGAAACAATTCAACAAGGTAGAACAGGTACACAAAGCTAGAACAAGCTAGAAAGCTTTGTTACTTTGTCTTTAGATTGAGCATACAGAAAGCTGTGGCATGCAATTTTAATTTCATTGCACTTCCTAGTTCTTGACATTCCATTTAGTCAAATATTATTTTTGCACCTTTTACCACTTAACAACAAATGTTTTGTATATTTAAACATCGGGTGTTCAGCACATACCATCCTCTAAGGTGAAAACAAAAATGTCATCCTTCTCAGACAGCAAGCTCTCTCCCACAGCTGTAGATGCAGCTACACGTAGCTTATAACGAGTATATTTGTCCAGGGCTATACATTAAAAAAGAAAAAAAGATATCTGTCAACAAATTTGTATTAGAATGGTTATAATTATTTTGATGACTGCATAAAAGTATTCCAAAAATGTGAATTAATCAAGAGAATTTGTGTACTCAACCTGTTATCAGTATGCTGGTAGAGTTTGTAACCCACTGCTGGGACTTATTACTCTGTAGATTGAGGCCATAGACAGTGTAATGTGTGATCCGTCCATTTGGGCTGGGGGGTGGAGCCCAGCTCACTCGTATGGAGCTGGAGCTAATGTTTTGATAGGACACGTCGAGCACTGAGCTTGGGACTAAAAGACATACACAATTGAGACTCTTAGGGACACATGAATGTTAAAACATTTATTCTTAGCTTCCTGTGGATAACAATCGCTGCATATGACCACCCACCCTGCTCCCTGGTCTTCTCAGTGATATCTGTGGCAGGGCCCTCTCCCACAGTGGTGGAAGCAGTGACTCTGAACATGTATTCAGTGAAAGGATCCAGATGTGACACCAGATAAGACAAATCTTCAGACAAAATATCCACCACCTCCTCTCTCACAGTTACACCTACAATATGGACACACAGGATTTATAAGCTTTGGAACGAATAGCAATCCTTGTATCAAGGTGCTGCAGGATGTTAAGAGAAGCACTGTTTACATTAGTGATGTCCCACCTGTAGTACCAGATGATATTGCTCTGCGTGTTGAAAAGTGCCCTGTAATTGATGCATCATGTGTGGACAAGCGGAGCTGCCCTGGGGTCAGTGGCAAAGGGGAGGAGGCTGAAGTCATATCCTGAGCATGCGATTGCTGTGTCAGCCAGGGTGTAAGCGTAGCAGATGGCACAGATGTGAGAGACAAAGCAGAGGTCCCAAAAACTGGAGGGTCAGAATACTGAACATCTATGCTGTTAGACTGTGAAGCAGAGGTGGATGTCTCAGTGACCATGGGTTCAGTTATAGGTAGAACGTCAGGGTCAGCGTAGTGGCCAGTGCTTGTAAGTTCAGAGGGTGTGTCAGTCATACCACTGTGCACTGTGCGATCATCAGCACTGGCTGTGAAAATTGGTGGTGATGTGATCAGACTGAGCTCCAGACTGAGCTCAGCAGATCTCCTATGCTTCCCTGGGCTGTTACGGACATCACAGGGAAGTGTTTCATATTGAAACAAATCAGATGTATTCTGAAGAAAGAAAAAAAACATTTTAAGTTTTCCATTTTTTCGGGCTGAGTGCAATAATCCTGAAGCAGTGATCCTCAATCTGTTTGACTCATCAGCCTTTAAAGCAGTGTTTCCTTGAATCAGGAGGCATCAGTAAACAGTAGATATGGTAGACAGGTTACATGTAAATGTATATGTAGATATGTCATCTAACAGAGGAAGTGGACACAGGGACTGGACGTAAAAGTCTAATGCAATTCACAAGACCAGTGGTTCAAAAATACAACCTTTTATGAAGTATATTTTTTACATCATTGAGAAAATGCCATAGCACTGCTGAACATGTTAATTTACAAGTGTAGTGGCATTTTGTTTTTGATGATATATGGTTAAGGCTGATGACACTGCCTTAAAATTACCAAGGAGTTTATCTAATGCTTCCTTAAAGGTAAAAGATGTTTACAGAACAATTAGATCCAACCTTTTCAACACAAGGGGCTTAGATTTTAACAGGATTTTCAGGAGTTCTGAGATGTAAAGAAGTACAGTTATGGTGGCTCTACATAGTTGTAACATCTTGCTTACTATGCCTGCATTGAAGTAGATGTCCTGCAGCAGAGTGTTGTCAGAAAGGACCTGCAGTCTGTACTGGGTAATCACACCATTGGGGTGGGCAGGGCTTCTCCAACTCACACGGATTGAAACCGAATCCTTGGCTACAGCCATGAGATCCTGCACTGCACTGGGTGCTACTCACATTAATACACAAGCAAAAGCAGACAGAGATAAACACAGACTTAGAGCTCTAATTTCTTGAAATAGGGTGCAGCAGTAAATGCAATTTAAATTACACATGTGGGTGCCTCTGACAATTTTTTTGCAGTTTTGGTGTCCACTGGCATTGATGTATATTAGATGCAGCCAAGCACAAGGTGGAAAAGAGACTGTATGCATTATTAGTGGGAGAAATGCATTATGAGCAACTGGTATCAGGGCTGGCTTTAGTAATAACTAATCAATCCAGCTCCTCTCATCCCCTTTAAAAGAACCTCAGAAAACCGGACTTTGATTGATGCCCCTGATTCCATGCCAATATATCTTCTTTTCCTTCCAGTTATTCTTATTTACTCCAATCCTAAATTGTGATGAGAAAAATATTGTGGAAGTAATATATGGAAGTCAGAAAGCCTCTGGGCCTGTAATCAGCAGCAGTTATTTTACATAATTTACTGTACTCACAACTGCATCCAGTGTTTGAAAAACTGGGAATCTAGGAGGTTATTTGCATGTAAATTTATAAAGGTTTAGTTGTTTTCAAAATAATACTATAAAAATACTGTAATCATTGTAATGCAGTGATTACAAATTAGGGATCAAATCATCATATCTCCATGGTAGTATGAAGGTATGCCTTTGTGAAATGTGATTGCTTGAGGAAACTGTAAGTGAACTGTGACATCTGCTGGGTGTTTGTTACAGATCATGGCTCATGAGCTGCTGTCATGTGTTATTTTGTGTGCCTATGCATAATTATTTCACCTGGATTTTGTGTCAAATCTTTGATTCTCATAGATCAGCTGGAGTGTACCTCCTTAGCTCAGCAAACCAGACAGACAGATGGTGCGTCATGAGCTGTGCCAACCTTGTCATATATATAGCCATATATTGATGACTAGTTTATTTAACAGTTGTGGATTTAAGGATTTATTTTAACTTGGTGTGCCTGTGAAAATACATCTGGGCACCTGGTCTCATGATTCCTACCCTACACTGTTGTTAGGAACATTGTCATGCACCTATGTGTTTGTGAGAAATGGTGGTCTGAGAAGGTCTTAACACTAATGGTTCAAAATGAGCACCAAAGCACTGTGCCTCATCCTCAGCATAAACACATTCATCCATGGCAGGAAAATACAAAACACACCAATGTGCTAAAAACCACAACTTGTGCCCAGGAAAAACTGCATAGAGACTATGTTTCAAGCTAGAAAAATAGGCACAAATAAATATTAAATAGATGTTATTGTATTATCCTTTATATTTATACAGTTATGGGTGATTTATTGCCCCCTGCCTCAACTCAAATAAAAAAAAATCTAAAGTTAAGTTTAAGTCACAATTTTTAAATCCTAATGCTAAGTGCATTTATGAGGTTTCATCTAAACCTTCAAAATAGATTTAGTAGTTTATTATTGTTCAAGTGTTCTCACCTTCAGCAGAAGTAATTATTTGATCGTGTGCTGCTGGACCCACTTCTCCAGCAGCTTTGGCTCGGACAGCCACCGCATACATTGTGTAGGGAGTCAAATCAGTAAAGGCAAATTGCATTTCTCCTGTGCTGTTCTCATACAAAAATCCTAGGAAAAAGAAGAGAAACTTGTGTATTACTGTGTATATTTTAATATGTGTATTTAGTGTTTGAGTTCTTATACATGTGCAGGCTTGCACGTGTTCCTGAGTAAACAATTAATAACCTGGAGGTCCGCAAAGATAGAGCGTGTAGGTGAATTTTCCTGTGATGATCTTGGGAGACTTCCAGGAAACAGAAATTGATCTTGACGTCACATTCATTATAGATAGGTTTTGTGGTGGGTCTTCTGGGGCTGTCATACACAAATACACAAAGATAATCATTTTCATATATGCAGTACATACAGATTAAAGGAAAAGCTACAGCTATTATCTACTTCTTTTTCCACACCTGATTCCGGCATGCGGACCATGGTGGAGGCTATCTGTCCCTCTCCCTCAGAAGTGAAAGCAGACACTTCAAATAGATAGGCAGTGTAAGGTCGCAGCTGATCAACTCCTACTGATATAGGCATGCTCCAGGCAACTGCAGGGGGCACGGCAGAGAGGGTGATGGGGGCAGACGATGCTGTTACATCCAAAGGACTGATGGTTGCACGGGACAGGATATCAGCTGCATCCTAGACATGCAAAATCATATAGGTCATAGAGAGCAGGAAAAATATATGAGAACAATATTTAATTTTTAGCCTTGTAATCCTGACAGAAAAAGAGTAGCCAGAGGTGATGGTGTAATGCAGTACTGTACATTGCAGTGAGGCAGTGCTATAATCATGAGGTCTTCTGCATTGATCTCCAGCTTGTGGACCGTCTGCCCTGAACGCACGAGTTTTGCCTTGACAGAAAATTTCGTGATGAGGCCGTTGATCTGTTGCGGCAGGAACCAAGTAATCATGACAAAGCTGTAGTTTTGAGCAAATGCTGTCAGGTTGGTCACCATGCCAGGGGCTGGAGGAAATACACACACATATACAGTACATACAATACTGTTGCTTTAGATTTTAAGTTATTTATGGAATTGTTTGTACATGTGCATGGCTACCCACGGGACTCAGCGGTCTTTATGTATAAAGACTTGCTGAATGGTCCAATTCCAGCTGGATTTTTGGCTGCTACCTAGAGAGAGACAGAGTGAGAGGGAGAGAGATTGTTGGCAGGTATTACTTACAGTATAATGATTAATGCATTTTCTTGTCAATAGGGCAGTCATCAGATCCCAGTTAGGTGCTAATCTCAGGCAATGATCCTAACAGGAACAGCACTCTGTTCAGTGATCTCAGTGATACAACAGGGATATTAACAGTATGCAAACACAGAACAATCACACGAAGCAGTATAGTGTAGTAGTAGTGTTTGTTTATGTTCAGTTATTTAAATAGGAGGAAAGAAAATCAATTCAACATTTAGTGAAACACTATGAAAAATAATGTATGCTTAAATATGTCACCTTCTTAAAGAAAGAAGAAAAACTGCTTTGCTCTTAGCTATAGGGATGTACAGGGCATGCTCTAAACAAACAGCTCTTCAATGGTAATTGTGTCTCAAATGGAGTTGTGAAAGATTCTGTCACTGTGCTTTACAAAACAAGGATGGTTTCTGCAGTCATAGCACCAAACTCATCACCCATCATACTAACAGATCTTTTTCACTTCACTGGCAATGAAGGACCTGTAATAAAAAATTACGTTAGCATTAAAATATGTTGCAGTGTAGGCTGCACAGGTACTGTAAAAAATAAATAACATGAGTAGAAAACAAGTCTGCTAGATACTTTACAGTATGTAGAGCAGACAAGAAGTACATGTGCAAGTACATGTTCATAAGTTCAGCTCTTTGCATGGTTTAGTGGGCCAACACACTCACAGGTACAGTAATACGATACACTGCCGCACGCACACACCCACGCATGCGCGCACACACGCACTTATGCAGTATGTGCAGGTATAATCACTATGTGTGTCTGTCTCTCTATTTACGCGTTTGTATTAAGGTCATTGCAGGTTAATGAATTCTGAAAACTAATAAGCACACTCACATTCAAGCTCAGCGACAACAGGCAATGGAAAGAGCAATTGATAATCCATAGATTTTTTTTTTTACCTTATTAATAATGCAATCAGGATCAATTACGGGTATTCAGCCAGATCGAGAGAACAGTGTGGTACTGTGGGATCTGTGTTAGCTAGCAACATCCACATCATAATACAAGAGGAACATTTCCAGGAATATGTTCTTTTTTTTTACCAGAGTGTATCTACTGTACTAAAAATGAATATTTAACTAAATATTGTGTGTGTGTGTGTGTGTGTATACATATATATAAACTTGTTATATTTATTTATTCTCTCACTTTTTGTGATAGAATGTTTTATTGATTAAAGTTTTACTGCATGATTGGTGTCTCGGCGTGGGAATATGATGTCCTGGGTTTTCTGTTTTGTGTGAGTTCACCAAAGAAAATTCCTACAGCTACAGTGTAATGATAATAAATTTGTGGATCATGAATTGTGTCTCGTACCTGAATGTGGTATGTGGAACCAGAGGTGAAGTCGGTGATCAGGGTCTCTGGCACTTCCAGATACTTGATCACCTGCGTGAAGGTGAGATCAGGATAGGGACATACCTCCTTGTATCTACAAGAAAAAAATATCAATATTCAAGATAATCATCTCCAAACTAGTGTATGTACCACTGGTGTTAAGTAACTAAGAACATTTAGTATTTCCATTCAATGCAACTTTATAACTCACCTCAATATTTTAGAGGGAAATAATGTGCTACATTAGGTTTAAATACTCTATTAGTTCATTTTATTTATTTTTTGAGTGGAGGAAATCTCTTTTCAGGTCATGTGAGACTAGAATTGAATTTTTAAACTTTAAAGGGGTATTTTGATCTGTAAAATAGGAATGGTTTTTATTGCAAATCAACTTGTTTCAAGAATTTTCTAAAATCTGCATTTTTCTAGTGCACTAACCTGCCTTATTCTTTCTCATTTCAGGAAACACACACCTGTTTTTAAAACATTTTTAGACATTTTTGAATTTAAAACATATTGAAATGTCTTTATTGCTTTTAGGAATCCAATTTTGACAAAATATCTATATACCACTGTAATTTTTGCAGATTCAACATTATTAAATATTTAAAGCCTCTACCAACTACAACAAAAAAGCTGCTCACATAATAACCAGTGATAATTATCCTAAGGTACAGTATAAGGTCTGTACTGTATTTATGACTCAAGGGGTCATTTGGGATAACATGTTCGCATTTGTTTGTGTATACACCACTGAATAACATTTGTGTAACATTTTAAATATATAAGATTTTTTCTTGAAATGGAGAGTCTTTACACTAGTATTACACTTTTATACTATCTGTTTCCAGCCCTTAAAATAATGTGGAGTCACTCCCATAGAGAAATACAAGTCTCAGTTTGTACATCAGCACGGTTTACACTACATATTTACAGTATTTAGATTTATATCTTTGTAATGGTCCTGCTGTCCTTTATTTCTTATGCTGTCCTCTTTTCTGTATTTCATATAATGTCATGATGACTCAGCAACTGATTGGTGTTGCAAATTCAATTTTATTGTTGAAGACAATGACAATGCAATTCTCTTGTACAAAGACCTACCTGATGACATATTCCTCAATATTGGTAGCATCACGTGGAATGGTCCAGGAAAGCAGAATCCCGTTAGAGCCTACAGCTTCGCCTTCTAGGTCTAAAGGTGGACCGGGAACTGAAAAAGTGGAAGGGAAGTGAACAAAGGAAGGGAAAGAAGAACGAAGACAGAAGAACATAAATACTAGCAACAAGAACATTTGATGTGTCTGTGTCTCATGCATTTGTGGATAAAATGTGTCTCAATGGGCTCAACTTCCCCTTTTCAGATTGCTGTATACAATACCATCACTAAGATGAAATGTGCACAAATTTTTTAATTAATACATTTTATTTATTTCAAAATCAGCATAATTTGATATATAGAATTGCTGTGTATGGGTTGATCTTCCAAGCGCATGTATGAGTGTCTGTGTGTGCCTTTGTGAGTGTGTTTTATGCTGAACTGATGAATAAGGCCTCACACAGCAGTGGCATTTCACTGACATTCACCGCAGACCCATTCATCCTGTGGTTCAAAAGCTCAGGCTTAAGTTACCCAAAAGGAATTAAAGAGAAAAGGGAGCATACCTCACAGATACACACACACACACACACACACACACACACACACACACATCTACTGTACTAATTCCTTTAATCTGTGTGAGTGTGTGCATGGGTGTGTGTGTGTGGCCTGGTATTATTCATGTTGTGGGAATGTATATCTCTTTACACAGTCACATTCTCAGGACTCTCTGTCCTTGTGGGGACAAAAAGCAAGTTCCTAAATACAAATCTTTACATTTTAGTGCGATAGCTTGGTTCAAGGTTAGGGTGAAGTTAGGTGTTAGGTAAGGTATAAGGGTAAGGGTTAGGGTGAGGCAAGTAGGGGATATGGTTAAGGTTACGGCAAGTGTCCAGGAAATCCATGTAAATCAATGTCCATTGAAGTGATGGAAAAACACTATGTGCCGCAGGTGCTGAATTAACCAGTAACGCTGATGAGAACCTGATGCCACTTTAGCACCAAAAACAAAACCCACAAACAACAAACAGTGTGTACATATGCACATCTCACCACTCTCATTAGTATTAACCATGCGGCTGACTCCAGGGCCGATGTTGGAGGAGGAGGCTGCTGTGACCGTTACAGTGTATTTTGTCCCTGGACTGACACTAACCACATCAGCCTGTGAAAACAGCAAAACACAAGCGTATGGTCACAACATACACATGTATAACCAAAAGGCATTTGACCATCTGTTACTGTACTTTCTGCTGTAGCGTAATAGAGTCTCCACAACTCTATCTGAAGAAGAACCATCTGCATAAGCTGTATGAAGGTGGGTGGTTGTGAATGATGACAGCTTGTTTCTGCTTGTGGCTTCACTTGTTTGCATCCTTATATGTTTGTTTATGCCTGTGAGACAGATGAACAGCATTGCCTGTGTTGCAGTCTTTCAGCTTTTGTGTGTGTTGAAACCAACACCGGCGTGTTTGATGTGTCGCATTAATACCCTATGCTTCCCTCCAGAAATATGACCAGGCATCTTTTATGCCTGAGGGTGCCCAACACAAACTGTATATGATTTACAATTTATATGGCAGCAGGTGTACTTATCCATACACCTGAGACACACAAATGGTTGGAGCTGTAACCATATACAGTACATCTTCTGTATATCAAAGTGTGTTACCTGTTGTGTGCCTGTCTGTGTGCACAGCAATGACAGCCATACTGTGTTGAATTCTTACCTGTGAGTGTCCCAAGTGGACTATGAGCATCAAGATGAGTGACAAGAAGGCCATACTGGGTAGCAGAGTTAGCTTTAATGTAGTCACAGCAGGTTAGAGGCCTCGCCAGGTGAGCTGCATCCAGTGTTAGTGCACAAACATTAGCGGCATCTACAGGTAATCCACTAAGCTGAAAAGATGTGATTCCGGGTCTAGAAGATGGTTAGTGGCATGATAAAAGTGTCACAGGGTCAGTTGTCCAGGCAATGGATAGTAATCTTGAAGTATCCCAAAATTTTTGCAGCTAGGCAGGAAGGACAGTGAACCTTTTCATTAGCACAAGGCTAATGCTCTCCTTCTGGTTTCTCTTGCTCTCTGGGGAGCGCTGCTTAAGCAAATGAATGATTCAGGGCTGAGCTCATGAAGCCAACTTAATAAATAATGAGATCCGTTACTCAACTCTGTGCACTGTGTGTTCTCTATATGTGTGTGTGTGTGTGTAATGTGTTGTGTGTAAGGTTACATTTTGGGGGGTATCTGGCACCTGGAAGCAGGAAAGAGCCATAATGGGGCGGGATTTAGTTGAATGGGAGGAGACACAATGCATGTGTAGTTTGTACATTCATTTATAACTTAAAAGGTTTACACTGTCATGCCTCCTGTTTTTTACTGCTCTGGTTTTTAGGTGAACTGTACTATCTTGTTGTCCAACTGCCTACACTAGACAATACAGAGCTTGTTAGTTAAAAACTAGGTTTACACTCATAAATATTTTTTTAATGCATGTAAGCAGTGTGCTTTTCACAGGGTATGTCTTTGTACCTGAATGTATCCATCACGTGCAGGGTACACAGTGACTTTTCCCTGGGTAGGTTGCAGGTTCACTTGGTAATAATCCACACACCCCAGTGCTTGCTCCCACTGTAGCGAGAATGCGTGCGCAGTCGCATTTAGGAGACGCAGTCCTCGTACACGGGTTGGCACTTATAAGGGAAAGGTAAGGGAAAAACAGAGTTAGAGAGGTCGCAAAAGTTTTTGTACTTTACTGATGAGATCAGTGCAGGTGATCATAATAGGGATTTTGACCGGTGCTGCCATTGTCTACCTGTGGTTACGGTCAGAAAGGCAGCACTTCCCGCTGTCACTCCTCTCACTCTCTCAGCACTCACGTTGTAGCTGCATCCGTCCACCAGCCCAGTAACCACAGCAACCTGTTCCTCTTTGGGTATGATGAGTGTGTTTGTGACCGATGTGTTGGCCACAGTGACTCTGTGGAAGTCAAACTCTCCAAACACACTGTCCCAGCTTACAGAAACAGAGGAAGAGTTCACGCTGACCAAATGGATGGTGCATAATCCTGCTGGGCCTGGAAAACATTGTTTCTAATATTACACCTACAGTTTTCATAATAGAGGGGGCAAAGTTATTATTTTTTTCTGTTTTATGAGGACATTATGTTTTGACTGAAGAAGTACTATCAGTTTGTTTCATCTGTACAGAGCAGCATGGAATTAATGTGTATTTAGGCCTATATGTTTCTGAGTGTGTTCCTGTGTGTATGTATCTTACGTGTAATGAACTCTCTGTGGATCAGCTGACTGGAGTCTGAGCCCAGCACACTCTGAATGCTGAGACCGTAGTCTGACCCTGGGATCAAATTACTAATCTCATAACTTGTACTCCAGACAAGCACCTCAGTCCATGATTTCCTGTCAATGGACAGCAGACCAAAAGCAAGCTGCAAAGAGCAAAAAGAAGTTCTGAGTTTTTACTGGGGCTTTAAAAAATCCAGTTTCAGTTACTGACAGTGTACTAATCCTGTAGACGTACCAGTCTTTCTAGTGTGTTTTTGTTGATGTGGGTTTTGTATTGCGTGTGCATGTAATGTGCTTGGTCATTCTTCCTGGACATGACTCTGTGGAGGTCGTACATTATTAAAGATTTGGTAACCAAATCTGTGGTGAGCTGACACTGGTTGCTAAGTAACCAACAGGTGAGTGAGGAACCTGATGCAAGTAGCCTCCTTCATTCTTAAAAGAACATTGGGATGATTTTAAGGTGTGCAAGAGAAATGACAAGGACACATCATTACACAAATCTGTCTGGAGGTTCCTATGACATCAGAAGCAATAATGCCCATCTCTGCCTCTCAATAGATACATTATTATGCATGTCTTACCCTGTATCCCTCCACCTGTCCTGGCGGTGGTCTCCAGGTGACAAACGCAGATGTCACTATCTGCACTGAAAGAGTCACTTCCTGTGGTACCTCTGGGACTAGACACAAGATTCCCATTAGCATGTCACATAATCATCATCCTCAGTGACTCTGGGTAATACACAAGTGTGATGTGACATTTGAACATACTTTATTAAGCATTTTGAACCAGCAGGGAGAGATGCAGAATTCCAACAAGTATTGCAATTCAAAAATTATTTGGTACTTTTCATGTGAGTATTTTCTTTGGTAAACATGTCTAAAATGAAACTCTTTTTTGTCTCTCATTGTTGACCTGAGAACTTACATGTCTTATAGAAATCTATCATTTTACTTTCTTAATCTATTATTTGACAATATTTTTGAAGGTGTATTTACCTATTTCTGATCTCCTCTGACTATTTGTTTCCTGCTACACTAATTTTGAAATCCAAATCATTTTCTTTTTTTTTTTTTTCTCTCTCTCTCTCTCTCTCTCTCTCACACACACACACACACACACACACAACTAATACTTGATGCTGGGTACTTCCTACTGTATGTCTTAAACTTGCAAACTTACTAGTATGGAGGATCACAGTAGCAGGTTTACTCTTCCTTTCCCTGCTGGTGCTAATCACTTCAATTGTATATTGGCATCCTGGAGCAAGGTCTTCAAAAGTATAAGATCTGTGAACACACACAACTCAAGAGGTCTTAACTTTGAATAATCAATATAGTAATCAAGTTTGGCTCAGTTGATTGAGATTGACCTTAGCTCCTGATGAGAGATGATCAGCTCCTGATTAAATGTTCTATTTCTGATTGAGAGGATGAGCCCGCTCACCACTCCCCTGACCATACTCCAGCTAATGTGTATGGATGATGTGGTTTTATAGACAAGAGTCACCTCCACTGGGCTGGGGGCTGGCACATAAAAACATAGACAATACATGTTATCAGAAATTGAAGAGCAGTGTGAGTACATGTGTGTGCTGTGTGTTTACCTGTAGTGATGTTGATGGTGACTGGGGAACTATCAGTGAAAGTCTCCTTTTCTGTTCGTACTGTAAAGTGATAGAGTCTGCCTGAAGTCAGACTAGAAAACACTGCATTCTGGCTGAACACCTTCTGCACCTGTAGCACACAAATTATATCAACATTTGCCTCCTAAACCTAAAGGTACATGTGAAACCATCCTTATTTATTTGATTTGATTTATTTTTACCATGTGTGAAGGCTCACAGTTGAGGCAGATGACCTCGTAGCTGTGAGCCTGTCCTTGCGCTGGATCCCAAAGCAGCTCTATGGATGAATCTGTCACCAGGCCCTCTCTCACTCTGCTAGGAGGGACCAGACCTAAGATAACCAACCATATCCCACAACATTACATGTACAAGTACTTACACATTACATTATTACAAGTAATAATGTCATGAATTTGTTAATAAATGTTTTTCAAAAATCCAAACATGACACTCATTCAGTCTATAATGTGGACAAAATAACAGAAACCCCTGTCAGTACAACACAATAAAATGCAATGGCACCATAAACTGTATGCTCTAAAATGACCATACAGTTAAATTAACACCACTATAAAATTATTTCAACAAAAAATAAACATTATGGCCTTCGTAAAAGGAGGATTTATTGCAGGACTGTTGTATTAGACTGCATTAGCAGTCAGCTGTGTGAACCCCATAAGGTGAAATATATGTCATTAGTTGTACAAAAGAAAAATGCTGGATTTATAGGTGATATGAGCAGGTAGGGGGGTGTTAATGGACCCACTATGAGGCCATAAAAGTGGATTTGAGACTTAATGTTCCATGTTAGAAGCAATTTACATATGTCTGGTGCCACTGGCAATCTGACTAGTACATGTTTTAATATGTGTTAGTACTAGCAAAGATAACTCACCAGTTCTAATGGGATGCGTGGAGTATGGTGGTCCCGTCTGCTCTCGGCTGGTGCTGTACACCCTGAGCTGGTACTCTGATCCGGGACTGAGGTTGTTAAGGGTTACGATATGAACTCCAGCAGGGAGGGAGTACCAGCTGCATGTATGCCCACATGATCCCTCACGTACAGCATCACAAACTCCAGGACAAATACATACTTTCACCCCATCAATCAGACCCAGCTGTGGATGCTGGATATACAGCTGTGCAGAGTTTGTGGCCACTAAAAGAGGGACCGCAACCTGAACTGGCATTGGTACTACACACAGAGAAAAAGATGGTTTATAATATGAACTAGTATGCTTGTGTCTACACTTTTCTTGTTTCGCTTACCTGTGGTGTGTATGATGCTGGTCCTCTGGCTCCTAGTTTGTTCCTTCAGTGAGACCACTCCTATGTCATAACTCTGACCTGGAGTATATGTGCCCAAATCAATGCATATGGAATGATTTGCCCAGTGTGCACCAGGACTGGATTGGTTTATCCACAATGAAGAAGCACTGTGGCTATTGAGTAGCTGGGATGTGATAAAATAGCCATCTGGAGGCTCATCAAGTGGACGGATCCAGCAGACTGTCAGATTTTGCCTTGTGCTCTGCACCATCAAACCACTAGGGGCCCTCAAAGCTAAGAGGTACAAAAAGAGATTGTTATATAGTTGTTAGCTGATATGGGCCAAAGCAAAGTCAGGTCAGACTCAAGTCAACACAATAATACATGCTTAATTGACTTGTACATGATTTTAGTTTAGACAGTTATGGACATCATCATCTCCAACATATCTGCTTTGGCTAGCATGACAGATTTGTAAATTTCTATTTAAAATAGATGCAATGCAAAAACAGTAAAAAGGAAGGGGCTGCTTCTCTTCTTAATGACACAAAGACTGTGTTATTAATGGTTTTGATTCCAAATATCTCTAGCAAAATGGCCATTACAGCAAACATCATGCAAATGAGTGAATTTGATCACACCAGGAAAGTTTGTTAAGTCCAAGTTCACTAAACCTGGACTTTCTGGTGTGATGTTTAAAATGTTTTTGGCTGCCCATCTGAATGAGCTCTTAATGCAGTAAGCCCTCAGTGTTTGCCTCATTTATGGCACCTTGGGACTAGGTGGTGTAAATTCTCAGAAGTAAAAACTGTTTTAGATCAACAGTGAAATGAAAAACAGTTACTTGCTTACCAGTCTGCACAGTCAGAGGCACTTGTCCACAGCTCTCTATCCCCTGTTTGGTGACTGTGTAAACGTTAATCATGTATTTCTTGTAAGAGTCCAGCCCTCCAATAACAGCAGTGTGCGACTGCAACCCACCAGTCTCAGACGAAATAGAGATATTGGTCATTCTAACAATCCTCTCTCGTTTTGAAGACATGTCCACACAGCGTACAACAAATGTCCATCCAGCCACACACTGTGCTTCTGGCAGCATCCAGTGAACATTAATCTGACTGACTGTTATGGGGCCCACAGTGATATTTTGTGGAGGTAGAGGTCCTGCGAGAAAGGGAACATAAACATTTGAAATTACATTTCTTAGTTAAAGCTGTTGCCTCTTATTTTGCTCTCTCTGTGTAACCTACGAGTGTAGCACTTTGACTCACTAGTGTACGCGGTCCGTGTCTGTCCCAAGCTCCAGGAGGAGCCAGCAGCGTGAGAAGCCCGAAGGGTAAAAGAGTAAACACTTCCTGGAGCCAAACCTGCCACAGTTACCCCTCTGGAGGTGAGGGAGAGGGGGACTTTGACAATTTTTTTAATACCGTTCTGGTTCCGTGTCCCCTTTTCATCCTCTGACCTCCTGTTTCTACATTCACCTTGACCCCATCCTCCACTGGCCTCCTCATGGTACTGGAGGAATATCTCAAGAGATGAATGATTAAGTGAGTTCAAGGGTGCGAGGTCACTCCAACGAAGCTCTACTTGTTGCTCTGTCACCTGAACCAGGTCAAAGGAGAATAATGATGGGACTTGAGGGGCTGTGAACGAAGGAGAAGCAGAGTAACAGCATAACAAACCTGGGAAGAAAATGAAGGAAGGAAGTGCTCTCAAATGATTGAATTATGTTTTTCATTAGTTATTTGCCCTGGGATCAAGTTATAGGTAAAGGGGTATGATATTTCCATGTGAGAAACTAGATACATTTGTAAAAGTGCAGTGATCATTTTAAAGCTAATGCCTTATAATTATTAATAAGGCAAATGTTCTCATTAAAAAAATGCATTTTACATAAGTTATTTACTCTGGTATTGGCAGATGAAGGGTAAGGGGATGTTACAGAAGAATGGAGTAAGAAAGTATCCCGGTCCTGTAGCATTCCTCTGAAGTGCAAAACAGTCTGTTTGACTGGCTGGCGGTAATGTCACCAAAGCGTGTGTCAGGTTATATGGTGAGCCGTCAGACCAGAGAGGCTGGCCCTCTTCCTGTGGGGAGACAGAAGAAAGACATCATGCACTATGGATATATACATGACACGCACTGCCGGTTCACTGTCATTAGAGTGACAGTATCAGAAACAAACCTTCTCTTTAAGGAGTAACTGCTGCCAACAAGCTTCTTCAATTTACAAATTAAACTACTTGCTGTAAAACATCCCCTCCAGTGGTGTCCTGCTCATCAAACCCTCATCTTACACAGTTTCACATTGGAACTATCTTAAATGGAGTATAAATACAGTTGTGGTTTATGATTTTTTTTTCCACAAAGAATGTACCAAAATACAGTTCATGAGGACCTCACTGCAGACTTCAGTCAAGGAAACATTTCAACTAGACAGGCTGACTTGGAAATATTATCGTATTTTGTATGCATATACTCTATATTTTTATAAATTATTTTAACCAATCATAAAAACATGCTATGTTAAGATTTATACCTCATTTGCTCTACATATTCCCTATAAACCTCTGCTTAAAAGTAATGAAAATATTTATTTTTCAGTATTTATATATGTCTTACAGAAGTCTTATTAGTACTGAAAGTGTCCTATAGGAAATGTGTGACAAAATGTTTCTATTAATGTAGAATCTTTTCAAATCAAATGTCTTAATAATCTATGCTTAAATATTTATTCAGAAAGTCTTTAATTAACAAAGTCCTCTTTAAATTCCTCAATTTTTATTCATGAACATTCTTAAATGTGATCCTTTGAGAGAGGTTATTCATATGAAAAGTAAAACATAGAAAGAAACAGGAGCTATCCTAACCATTATACCTTAAAAATTTGTCATTTTATAAGGTTTTAATTAATTAATTAATTTAAAAAAAATTCTCCAGTTCCTTTCCTTGAAATATAGCATTCTGAAATAAATCTACCTGCTGATCACTGAGTCCAGTCCATAATAGCAGCAAACTGCTGTGGCTCAAAATTTGAGAAGAAACAAAAAACAGATCTTCCAGGGTCTTCAGGTCAGCCAGGTGACTTCCATCTGCCAGGCGTTTGCAGCTGTGCTGGGCTCCATCCCAGGTTAAACCTGTTCTTCTTACAGTGAAGCAGTTCCTCCCGTTGGGCAGCCAACCAGGGGGGCATTGAGCTGGAGACAAAAATGATCATCACCTTAGGCTACAGATTCCAACTTGTCTGCAGTGTCTTCTAAGGCTGGTTATCAAGATGTGGGCATGCAGGTGTACCATACCTGTTTCCATGCCAATGTGGAATCTCTGCCTCAGGATCATATTAACCTGTTTAAGCATCGTAGTCACCACAACTATGACCTTGAAGTGTGTGCCAGGTTGAAGACCCTTCAAAGTGTACTGGGACTTTGCCTGTGAGGGGTTTATGTTGAAGTGTGTGACAGACTGTGTGTGAGTGTAGTATAAGCTCAAGCTTGATATGTTTTGTTGTCTAAGAAGCTTCCATGTCAGGAGAGCAGTAGTTGCTGTGCTGTATACATGAAAGGAGGACAGAGAAACTGGAACTGGACACAAACACATAAGGGAAGGGGTATAGACAAGAAAATCACAGCATCTTTATAAGGTATGTCACTTCTTCATCAGGATTATGGGATTCAAAACCAAAGTTCACAAAGACTCACCAAAGTGAAAGGTCTTTGCCTCAATTGTGGTATCATTCCTGCTGGCTC